TCATAAGTTAACCTTCCAGAATTCTAATTTCAGATTTTCTGAGTGATAACCTTTCTTTTCTACTCATAAAAAAAAAAAAAAAAAAAAAAAAAAAACTCCGTAGGTAGCAAAGTGCAGTGTTTCCCAGCACTACTTCTTTTAGTGACACATATAAAACCTTAAGTTTCTGTGAAATTGTACCTTGTACTATGAAATGGGTATCAATCGAGAGGCTTTGTATTCAAAAGCTCAGTCCTTGAAATTAATATGGCTTACTGGTAATGAAGAAAATCTGAAGGAAAAACAGGATGCATGGACAAAAATAACTCCTTTTACTGATTTTTTATATTTGATTGCAGGTCACCTGGATTCTTCAGGACTTCAGGAAGTGCATTTAGCTGGGATGTAAGTTCTGTTGCTAAATGAACCCCATGCAAAAGCTTTTTAGCACTGGTCATAGAGATTTTATCCTGTGCGGACTCTGCAGAGTGCAAAACCTTTCATATTGGGTGTAAGTGGGCTTTGAGGCCTAGTTCCTTACCTTGAACAGTTTCTAAGGTTTCCAGATCTAAATAGTGTTGTGAAAATGAAGGCTATTCATTTTAACTGTCATAATCAGAAGTATCTATAAGGAAATGAAGGAAAATGGTATACTACACTTATATAGGCTTTTATTTGAATGTGAAAAGTGCTGTATCTTAGTAATTCAAAGTACAGAGTGGCCAGGCGCGGTGGCTTACATCTGTAGTAATCCCAGCACTTTGGTAGGCCAAGGCAGGCGGATCAGTTGAGGTCAGGAGTTCAAGACCAGCCTGCCCATCATGCAGAAACCCCGTCTCTATTAAAAATACAAAAATTAGCCGGCTGGGGTGGCACATGCCTGTAATCGCAGCTACTTGGGAGGTTGAGGTAGGAGAATTGCTTGAGCCCGGGAGGCGGAGGTTGCAGTGAGCGGAGACCACACCACTGCCCTCCAGCCTGGGCGACAGAGCGAGACTGTGTGTTGAAAAGAAAAAAGAAAGTACAGAGTGTAGGCTCTGGAATCAGTGTCTAGATTCCTGGCTTACTACTTCATTCACCAGTTGTGACTCTGACAAGTTTTTTTAACTTCATTAGACCTTAATTTTTTTTATTTGTAACATGGAGACAATAATAGCACTTGTCCTAAAGTAGCTATTGTAAGGATTAAATAAACTGTGTATCTAACACATACCAAGCATTTTATTTATGTATTTATTTTTATTTTTGAGATGGAGTCTGGCTCTGTTGCCAAGGATTGAGTGTAGTGGCGCCATCTTGACTCACTGCAACCTCTGCCTCCCTGGGTTCAAGCGATTTAAGCGATTCTCCTGCCTCAGCTTCCTGAGTAGCTGGGATTACAGGCGTCCACCACCATGCCTGGCTAATGTTTGTATTTTTAGTAGAGATGAGGCTTCACCATGTTGGCCAGGCTGCTCTTGAACTCCTGACCTCAAGTGATTGGCAACCCCCTCGGCCTCCCAAAGTGCTGGGATTACAGATGGGAGTCACCTGGCCCGGCCTGAATTGCTTTAAATGCTCTAACCCAGATAGATAATGAAATCCACAGAGGGAGGATAGGAATTTATATATAGATATGTTTTTTGTTTGTTTGTTTGTTTGTTTGTTTTTTGGAGATGGAGTCTCACTCTGTTGCCAGAATGGAGTGCAGTGGCCTGATCTCAGCTCACTGCAACCTCCGCCGCCCAGGTTCAAGCGATTCTCTCGCTTCAGCCTCCCGAGTAGCTGGGACTACAGGCACACGCCACGACGCCCAGCTAATTTTTGTATTTTTAATAGAGACGGGGTTTCACCATGTTGGTCAGGATTGTCTCGATCTCTTGACCTCGTGATCTGCCCGCCTCGGCCTCCCAAAGTGCTGGGATTACAAGCATGAGCCCGCACACCGGGCTTTTTTGTTTGGTTTTCTTATCAGACGGAGTTTTTGCTCTTGTTGCCCAGGCTTGAGTGAGTGGCGCGATCTCGGGTTTCACCACAACCTCCCCTCCCGGATTCAAGAGATTCTGCCTGCCTCAGGCTCCCGAGTAAGGCCTGAGGATTACAGGGATGCGCCACCACGCCAGCTAATTTTGTATTTTCAGTAGAGAGCCGCGCTTTCTCTGTGTTGGTCAGGCTGGTCGCGAACTCCCAAAGCTCAGGTGATCCCGCCCGCCTCAGCCTGGCAAGTGCTTCGGGATTACAGCGTGACCGACCCCGCCGGCACAGAAAATTAAATTTTAAAAAAAATTAGCCCTGGCGGCACCGACCCCCCGGTGTCACGCCTGTAATCCAGCACTTTGGGAGGCTGAGGCGGGCGGGATCTCACAATCAGGACGATTGAGACCATCGCTGGGCTAACATGGTGAAACCCCGTCTCTACAAAAATACAAAAAATTAGCTGGGCATGGGAGGCGGCGGCCTTGGTAGTCCCAGCTACTCAGGAGGCTGAGGCAGGAGAATGGCGTGAACCTGGGAGGCGGCGCTTGCAGTGAGCCGAGATCCTGCCACTGCACTCCAGCCTGGGTGACAGAGCCAGACTGTCTAAAAAAAAAAAAAAAAAAATTAGCCCCAATACACTGTGCTGGAAAATTAGTAAATTGTATAAAACTCGTTCATCTTTGGTACATGTTTATTTATATGGTTATACAGGCAAAATGAGGGTCTTATCCCCAAGATATCACTTGAGTCTTCATATTTACCACAGAGAATACCCTATGTATTGTTGTTGGAAGAGACATATCAACTGGGAATAGGGCTCCTAGAATGAAATTTTAAAAATGTTGGGATGCACCAAATCCACTGAAGAATAATCAAACAGTATTTGGGGCTAACCTGACAGGCAGTTTGTTTTAATCTGCAGGAATCATCACCAGCACCTAATGAAATGTAGCCCAGTGAGTAGCCTCTCTTTTTTGGGTTTGGGTTTGCTTTTCAGGTGGGAGGCAGAGGGTTTCCATTGCACCTGTGACTTGATGCGGGACGTTCTCAGCAAACTCTTTTTTAGGCACAGCTTCTCTGTAGCACTCCGAATGGTTTGGACCGTGGCCATAGAAAGAGAGATGCAATGTGTAGCTTATCTGCAAATAAAGAAAATGTGAGTGTTTAATGGAAACCTAGATATATTGGCAGTTTTATTTTTTTGAGTGAAGAAACTTGTTGTTATCATAGTGAGACGTAGAACTGTTTATACCTTGTATGCTAGACAAGCAAAACTGTATTACTATAGGGGAGAAAAATTGTTTGTTTTTGTTTTTTCTTATTAAAGTTTGGCCCTAGGACAGACACCCAGCTCCAAGTTCTCCACAGTAGGTCATCATTATTTCTCATGTTCAGTCGATCATTTTGAGGATAAAAATTATCCTTACTGTAGTGTAAGGGATTTAGGAGTTTTGTTTGTAGGGTTAACTTGCATAACTTGTTCACAGATTTTTTTTTCCACCACTTTACATGCAAGTGTAGATTTATTAATTTCTTATTTCCCCCTTAGTCTGGCTTTTAAGCCCTTATTCCGAGGAAGCCATGGTACTTTTTATCTAAACCTTAGGTCATCCTTCGTTCCAAGTTAAAACTAGCCTCTTCAGAACCACCTAATCACTAAGATAATTCTGTATCTAATCCCTTCAACTAATCCTCTTTTCTAGACATCTTTTTTTCTTCCCTGCCTCCCATCCATTTCCCCAGATCATTACCCATAAAAGATAGCTGCTGTTCTTTTCTTACATTGACTTAAGATAGACTCATGTTTTTGGCTGTTCTAATCAGTTTTTTCTTGATTTAATACTGTCCTTCTAATCTCCATTTATAATCACTTTTTATTCATTTATTTTTGAAACTGAGTCTCGCTCTATTGCCCAGGCTGGAGTGCAGTGGCACGATCTCGGCTCATTACAACCTCTGCCTCCTAGGTTCAAGCGATTCTTGTGCCTCAACCTGCCAAATAGCTGGGACTGTAGGCACATGCCACCACGGCCCGGCTAATTTTTGTATTTTTAGTAGAGACGAGGTTTTGCCTTATTGGCCAAGCAGGTCTCCTGACCTCAAGTGATCCGCCCGCCTCGGCCTCTCAAAAGGCTGAGATTACAGGTGTGAGCCACTGCCTGGCCTATAATCACTTTTTTTTTTTGTGAGAGAGAGTTGCTGTTGTACCCCAGGGTGGAGTGCAATGGTGCAATCTCGGCTCACTGCAACCTCTGCCTCCTGGGTTCAAGCGATTTTCCTGCCTCAGCCTCCTGAATAGCTGGGATTATAGGCATGTGCCACCACACCCGGCTAATTTTTGTATTTTTAGTAGTGACAATGTGTCACCAAATTGGCCAGGCTGGCCTTGAACTCCTGACCTGTGATGATCTACCCACCTTAGCCTCCCAAAGTACTGAGGTTACAGGTGTGAGCCATCATGCCCGGCCAATAATCACTTTTTAAAATCTCACTATCCCCTCTCCAGGCAGGCTCCCTATCCCTACCCCATTCCTTTTACTTGTGACCAAAAATTAGTATCTTCCAAAGCAAATCTGCATGCCTTATATCAAATCCACATCATAACTTGCATCTTCAAATGCAAGGTTATATAGCGTCAGGATATAGGATCAACTTTGATTACATGAAATGTGTTTTGTAAGGGTTATTCATGGCTTCATCAGATGAAATGTTTTTATTAGGGCCAGCTGACACTTCTCTTCCCCAACTAATGCAGTTTTTCTTATTCAGGAAAACGGCACTTTGAAGCCCTTGGAGTGTCAGGCACCCAGGAACCTGAGGTTTCAAAAGAGACCAGGGGAACCTTATGTGTCTCCTCTTTCTCTGCTGGTAAGTCATTGAACATCATTATTAAGGATCAGTTGAAGTGTTATAGGCTATAGGATGGCAGCTCTGGATTTATGAACCTTTGAATTTTTCTAAACCGGCATCATCAAGCCAAATTTAGGTGAGAAAAAGGGGGTTGGAGAAATAAAGTTTGAGCAGGAAAAGAGAGCAACAATATGTCCTATGATCTTCTTGTTTAAGTTTAAGGAGGAAAAAATATGACTTGGGCTTTTTTTTTTTTTTTTTTTTGTGAGATAGAGTCTTTCTCTGTTGCCCAAGCTGGAGTATAATGGCGCGATCTTGGCTCACTGCAACCTTCTGCCTCCCAGGTTCAAGTGATTCTCCTGCCTCAGCCTCCCAAGTAGCTGGGATCATAGGTGCCCACTACCGTGCCCGGCTAATTTTTGTATTTTTAGTAGAGACGGGGTTTCGCCATGTTAGCCAGGCTGGTTCCGAACTCCTGACCTCAGGTGATCCACCCACCTCAGCTTCCCAAAGTGCTGGGATTACAGGTGTGAGCCACCGTGCCTGGCCAAGCTTCTTTTTTTCTTCTACTTTATTCTTTAAAGATTGCTTTTTTATTTTTATTTTTTTAAACACAAGGTCTTGCTATGTTGCCTAGGCTAGACTCGAACTCTTGGGCTCAAGCAATCTTACCACTTTGGCCTACTGGGTAGCTAGGACTACAGGCACACGGATCTGTGCCTGGCTCTGGATGTTTTTCTCTAATAAATGGACCCTAATTTATAAAAGGACTTCCATATTGTTAGATACTTAGTGGTATCCAAATTTTCCTTTTACAAATAATGCTATAATGTAAGTTCTCAAAGTTCTCAAGCGTAAATATATTTGACTGCATTTCGGATTTTTCTCTTCAGTGCTGGATTGAAAGTATATATATATATACATAATTTTTTTTTTTTTGAGATGAAGTCTCTGTCTGTTGCCCAGGCTGGAGTGCAGTGGTAAAATGTCGGCTCTCTACAACCTCCGCCTCCCAAGTTCAGGCAATTCTCCTGCCTCAGGGTCCCGAGCAGCTGGGACTGCAGGTGTGTGCCACCATACCCAGATAATTTTTGTATTTTTAGTAGAGATGAGGTTTCACCACGTTGGCTAAGCTGGTCTTCGAACTCCTGATGTCAAGCAGTCTGCTTGCCTTAGCCTCCCAAAGTGCTGGGATTGCAGGTGTGAGTGAGCCACTGCATCTGTCTTAGGTATAAATTTTTAATCTGCTCATCTTGTCAGTGTGACATAAAGTTTTTATTTTATTTTATTTTATTTTATTTTTTAAGATTGATTCTTGCTCTGTTACAAGGCTAGAGTGCAGTGGTGTGATCTCAGCTTACTGCAATATCTGCCTCCCAGGTTCAAGTGACTCTCTTGCCTGAGCCTCCTGAGTAGCTGGGATTATAGGTACATGCCACCACATCCAGCTAATTTTTGTATTTTTAGTAGAGACAGGGTTTCACCATGTTGACCAGGATGGTCTCAATCTCCTGACCTTGTAATCCGCCTGCCTCTGCCTCCCAAAGTGCTGGGATTACAGGCGTGAGCCACCGCCCCCGACAGTATCAATATTTTTAAAGTTTTTTTTCTTTCTTTCTTTTTTGTTTTCTCCTCTCCCTAGAAATAGGGATCTCACTGTGTTGCCTAGGCAAATCTCAAACTCCTGGGCTCAAGCCTTAAGGTTTTGATACTTTCTCCAATTTTTTTCTTAAAAAGTTATAAGAATTTACATTTTCATTAGCAATCCATATCTCATAGAATTGTAGACTTTATTTATCTTATTCTAGTTGTAGGCTTGTTGCGACAGCAGGTTTCCTGCTCCCAGTGCAGTGCAGGTGTCGTGACC